CCGCGTGGCCCACTGAGCTGGTCGATGATGGCATCCGCCACCGTGGGCGCCGCGCTCATCATCCGGTAGATCATGAAGCCGGTGGATGGGTGCACCATACCTGGGGGGGAGGGGGGAAAGGGGGGAAAGGGGGGAAAGGGGGTAAGCTGCGTGTGCGTGTGTTTTTAATCTGGTCGGACCCGCGAGCAGTGTACGGGTGTATGTGTACGGCTGAGTATCTGTAAGGGCAGTCATGCGATGAATGCACAGAAAGAGAAATAAAAAGATATGTCGACGTCAGCCAAAAGAAAACATCAACCAACCAACCAACCAACCAACAGATAAAGGTGCATCCAGCAAAGCAATTTCAGTATTATATATCATTATTATTTTCAGTTCAAGACACAACATATTTAGGAGAAGACAATTAAATCTTCGGAGAACTCAAGATCACGGACCAGTCAAGAAGCCAGGCAGGCAGGTGCCCCCCAGTACGGCACCCACCTGCTGCGCCCCCCAGTACGGCACCCACCTGCTGCGCCCCCCAGTACGGCACCCACCTGCTGTGCCCCCCAGTACGGCACCCACCTGCTGTGCCCCCCAGTACGGCACCCACCTGCTGTGCCCCCCAGTACGGCACCCACCTGCTGTGCCCCCCAGTACGGCACCCGCCTGCTGTGCCCCCCAGTACGGCACCCACCTGCTGTGCCCCCCAGCGCCAGTACCCTCTGCGGGTGCTTGGGCAGCACACCCCCCATGGGGATGAGGCAGTACTCCTCCTCCTCCACCCGGGTGACCTGGAGGGGACAAAACACACAAGACACGCACACACACACACGCATGCACGCCAGGAAGCAGGACCGGGATTAGAACCGCAAAGAAGGAAAGGGCGCGGGAGGGGGTGAGGTGAGGTGGGTAAGCGGCGGACCCTAAGGAGGTGGTAGAAGTGGCTGGGTGTACTGCGGGGGGGGGGTGGGGAGCTAGGTAGTAGGAAGGAGGAGGAGGAGGACAGCCCGCCGCCCCGCCCCAGCCCCCTTCATACAAGTTTGCCACCCCCATCTCCTCCCTCCCGATTTCCCACTCCTCCTCCTCCCCCTATCTTAGAGCTCGGCGGCACTGTGCTACTCCTACACTGCTACTCCCCCACCCCCCTCCCGCCCACCTCTCCTTTTCCCCTCCCTCCCCCCATCCTCTTCACTCGCTTGTGGTTCGTCTTCCCCCCATCCCCTCCCTTCCCCCCACCCGCCCCCCTCGTTCCCCACCAACCCCCCACCTTGATGCCCAGCCACTTCAATCGCGCCTCCAGGCGCTCCTTAAGCTCCGGAAAACCCACAGCCGGCCGGGAAACCAAACTGGTTTCCTCCAGAAAGACCTGTACGATGGATGTACGGCAGATGTACGGCAGATGTACAGCGGGAGGAAAGTATCAGGAAAGCAGTAAATGCGGGCGGGAAACCGGAGGAGTTGCTTTTGCCTGTCCAACTGCAACAAGGACTCACAGACTGTCAACTGTTGGGATTCAGAGCAGATTCATGCATGCAGAAGAAACTGGATTAAGTCAGGGAAATCCAAGGAACATTGGATCCATGAATCATCGGATCCAGCGCCCGATGAATTCTAAAAACGTGGTGGATTTGGATGCTATGGGTACGCGAAATTTCTTTTACCCCACCCACCCAAAACGCCCACCATGCCTTCACCCCCTTTCTCCCTACACACACACACACACACACACACACACACACACACACACACACACACACATCCCAAACCAGCCCCGCATTGCGGTCTGCGGACCTTGTTTTTGGTGAAGGGCATGGCGTACAAAAACGTGGGCAGCTTCTCATTGGCCGCCCTCATGGCCTCCAAGCCTGGGCCGTGTGTGTGTTCGTCGCGCCAGTCCATGAACAACATGGTGTCGATGTCGAAGGGGTGAGACTCCACCTTCGTTGAAAACAGGGGTTCGTTGGGGGAGAAAGGGGCCAGGGTTGGAGGAGGAGGGGTTCCTAGTGTGGGAAAACACAGATATACATGTGGGTGCGTGAGTGCGTGTTTGAGACGGGGGAGTTGGCGGTCGGGGGCATGGGAAAATGAAGATGGAAACGAAACACAGGACCGGGGGGGTGCGGAGGGGATGACGGGGGAGGGGGGAGTGATGATGATGATGATGCGGAGGTCTTCACGAGTTGCGGAGGCGGCAGCTGCATTCGGTCCTCCCCCCGCCCCACACACACACGGCCCCCCGCGGCTCCGACCCCCCCCCTGACATACTTACCTCCGCCACAATCCCATACGCCCCCTGAAACCCGGGGTCAAACTTCTTGTCGTACTCCACTAACCGCCGCGAGTGTCCCGTGGCGTCCAGCACCAACGACCCGCGAATCTGCCCAAGGGGATTGGCGGGGGGGGCACTTGGTTGTGGTGGTGGTCTGTGTGTATATGTGTATGTGCATAACTTATCCACTCTGTTTTGTTCGGTCGTAACTAGCTAGCGGATAAGGGCAAGGGGGAAGTCATTCATCAACTCCTCTTTTCCTCACCTCCCTCCCGCCCCCCTCCCTCCCCGCTTCCCTCCCAACTTCCCCTCCCCCCTTTTCCCCCCTCCCCCCCCCTTTCCCCACCTTCCTGCCATCCGCCAGCTGCACCTCGGAGCTCCCCTCACCGTGGCAACACCCGGACACCTTGCCGTACAGGAACGTAACGCCTGAGGGGGAGGGGAAGGGCGGCGGGGAGGGGGGATTTAGGCGGGCGGGGTTGGGGCTGGACGAAGCGGGTCAGGGTGCTTGGGTAGGTCAGTAGGTATGTAGGTAGATGGGGAATCGGTCTTTGCATCCCAACTACCACTAACCACCTTCCCCACCTCATTCGTACAAGTGACTACCTGCACCACTACCTGAACCGCTACTGCACCGCTATGGTTTAACCCCCCACCCACACAGGCGCACCAAGGCAAGTCGGCTGCCAATCCGACCCCCCCTCCCCCCATTCAGTTTTCCCCCTCCCCCAACACGCACCGCCAGGACATTCGTCCCCTTAAAACCCCGTACCCTCATCTAACTCTTAGCCCCAACCCCAACCCCCCACATGCCCCCGCCCGCACGCCCTCACTCCCTCACCCACCCGCAGCATTACAGCGCTCCAGCAGCATTCGCTTCAATTTGGGTCGGTCTACCCGGGCAAAAGGACGGTTCAGGAACCTGCGTGTATGTACGTATGTATGTATGTGTACGGGGGATTCGGGCAAGGGAAGTATATGCATATACGTCGCGGGGTGGAAGGGGAGAAAGGGAGAAAGGGACTTGGTAGCGGGAATGTGTAAGCGGCTTCCGACCTGTACGACAGCACTGAGAGGCTTCTTCTGCAAACTGCGGTTCAGCGCAAAATACAGGCACAGGCGCACACACACATTTAGGATCGCCAGTCCAGGCGGCTTGGGTTGTGCCATGTCCCGTCACCCCTCCTCCTGGCCAACGCCATCTCCTCGCTCTCCCCCCGATCCGTTCTCCTCTCTAAAAGCCCCCCGCCACCTTTCACCCCCCACCTAAGAATTTGCTAATGATGTGGTGCTGTGGTCCGCATCCGAATCACAGCGGGTTATTCGTACAATTCAAGTACGACACTTACTTTTCTCCATCGGGCAGGCTGTTGAGCCAGACCTTGGCCTTCGGCCAAATGACGTGGAGGGAGTCCTCGAGGCCCATCGCCTGCGGTTGGGTTGTGTATGGGAAGGGGGAACACGTTAAGTGTCTGTTTGTCTGTGCGTCTGTATTACCATCTGTTAAATGTACCTTTGTGGGTATGAGAACATGTTACCTACACAAACATGTTCATGCGTATGTATGTGCCTGTGTGTGTGTGTCAGTGCAGTTCAACAGGTGTGAAGTTCAGCAGGGGTGCAGCAATGGGGCCTTGACAGGTGTGCCGCAGATGTGGTGTCGTCCATTGAGGGGGGGGGTAGGAAATGCTCAAGGAGGGGGGTTGGGGGATTATGGGATCGTGCTCGTCCGTCAGCCGCACCACATGTGTACGACAGGAGCGTTGATACGGCACGAGTTGCTCGTGGTGTGGACTTTACACGTCAACTGCTGCCATGAGGGAAGGGATGGGGTGAAGATGAAGGCCAGGCGTTCATTCAGCCCTTGATGGCGAGAAGTAGTCCCGGAGGCCAGGATGAGGTATGGCTGGCTGCATGGAGCTGCTGCTGGATGTGCGAGGTCCTCGGCTGAGCTGGCACAGAAAGGCTTTATAGTTGAATAGCATGTATGCGCACCTGAAATTCATCAAGCCAGACGCCATAATTATTGGGCCAATGGGCCAGCGGCTCAGGGTCGATGACACAGACGGAGAATCCGGCCGCTGCGACTCGCCCTGCCGCTGCAACGCCCGCGGGTCCAGCACCAGCTACGATTAAGTCCACGTAAGGCTGCTGCTCCAGGTTGTGTTGCTGCAGCGGCAGTGTTTCCTCGGTCGGCCAGCTCTCCGTCTCGCGGTAGTAGTGGCTGGCGGGGCCTTCTGGGATTGGGTATGGCCCGGATGAAAAAGCCGCCTTTTGTGCAGCAGCTATGACAGCGCGCGTGCAGCGACGCAAAGATGGGACGAGCGGAGTAACGCGAGCAAGTCGTTGTGGCCGCAAACCGCTGCGAAGGGCGCTGGGACAGCTGCCCGCTTGGAGAAGCATTTCTTACAGTCCTACTTTTGAGCGACCGAGAAACTTTGGGCAAGACAGAGCCAGGCGCAAACGGGCTATCTTGTGGGACGGTGGCGCCCTGAAGTTACACGCGTCCACAGAAGCTTCGAAAACTCATCCAGTAGGAGCAAATAATTAAAGTTTAACGTGGGAGATGTTGCGCACATACTTCAGCTGTGGATCACACGCCGTACTTCTCTACCAGTCGCCAGGTCCATGTTTGCATTAGGCGTAATGAGCAGTAAAGTTGTCTGCTCCTTAGGCCTGAGATAGTTGTGCTTATGGACTTTTATCCTTTCATGTTTTGAAATTGCAATTAGGCCCAGGACGCTGTCTGTTGTGAACCATGTTGCAATTCGGAACGCGAGAACCTGCAACTTTACAGACCCAGAATTGCTGTTTGAAAAGTATTACGTATGCTTGTAGATGTACAAATCTTAGGTCGCTTTGAATCGTAGCTTTTGCCATATAGCGGAACCCAGTAAACCCCTGTAACTCGCTGCCACGCAAGACCTGGCTGTCAAAATCCCGCTATGCGTCCTCTCGCCACGCTATCGTAAATCACGCGCTGTGGCTCCCGTGCCTGCATTGGTCATCGACAGCTGGTGCAAGGAGTCCCCATGGCCATCTCAAACAGCCTTCCAAGCTTCCTCTTTCCCATCTCCTTCTGCCTCGCATCCTTTATGATATCAGCTTCAGCTGGTGTAGCAAATCACATAACCGGAATAGACCGAGCGGTGCTCTCAGCCTCCAGCGTCCCTTCCTCCATTCCTGTCTTGGAGCCGCTTTGGGGCTGTGAATCTCCGGCTCTTCCTCCGGGATCCTTCCACGTAGTCGTCTCCACATACAACGCTGATCCAGAGCAAGTCCTGCCTTGGCTCTGGCACTTGGGCCTCACCAACGCCGCCGTGTTCTTGTATTACCGCATCGACGACCCGTATATCCAAAGGCAGTACCACGGTACCGTAAAGCTGCCGTGCAGCATGTCTCTCAACGTTATACCGCTGCTACCCAATAAAGGCCGCGAGGCAGCTGTCTTCCTCCACCATATCGTCACACACTACGACAACTTACCGCTGGTGAGACAGGCTGGTGCAATTCCTGGGTACTTGCGTTAACGTTCCTTCGGGCTCTGTGGCGGATGGACGCGCAGATAGCCTACGCTCGGTCCTGAGTGTCAACAAATTGGGGCCTTCTAAGGAACATCGAGCAGCCAGCGCTATAATTAAACCGACCCAAATGTGCTAGATGCGGCAGCGGCTTTCTGGCGCTGCGGACGACGAAGCTTTGTGTGACCGTAGGCGGAACGTCTCCAGGGCCTGGTCCAGCAGAACGACCCAAGTCATCTGGGTCGCTTCAATTGCTTTGCCAACACCGTTGATTAATTGGTGTTCATACCGTTAGTTGATTGCTGCCAATACCGTTGCTCGATTGCTGTTAATACCGTTGGTTGACTGCTTTTAATACCGTTAGCTGATGGCCGCCACAATGTCAGTCCTGCTGTTGAAGGCGTACACGCTCGCGCTGCCACCAAGAGACCTTTCACAACACAACCATAACCACCTTCATAACCACCTTCATAACCACCTTCGTAACCACCAGTAACCGCCCCTACCCCAACCACATGAAGCACATGGCCGCCATCATAACCGTAACCACGCGAACACAGGAGTAATAGTAGTCGGCGCCACCATCACCACAACGAGAGCTTAACCATCACATCAGTACAACCACCCTAGCCATCATCAGGACACGCGCCATCACACCACCGCCACCACCACCACTACCCGCCTGTGCACAGCTTCAAACCAATGCCAAGCTCAACACCCACGCCAATGCCAACCTCTTTACCCCCAAACACCCCAAGCAGCCCGAGCTAATGCCTACAACGTCCAGATCCGCTACTGCCCACCTCTGCCCACAACTAATTTTCCTCCCACTTCCCTCCCCCTCTGGGAACTTGACGGTTGACTTAATTTTGCCTTTTGCATATAATGTCCCACATCCACACCCTACTGTCACGTCTTCTCCTCCGTTACCCGGCAGCCACCTACACGCACGCCTTTGACCTTCTTTTGACTTCCCGTGTGAAATGCTATCCTTGATCTTCCCGTGATCTGGCCCCGGCCTCTCCCTTTCCCCCCGCCGTCTTTCCCCCCCCCTCCACACAGGCCCTGCTACTGGCACACGACCATGGCCCCGCCTCCCGCCACTCCCTGTGTGGTCCCTTCTATCGGAGAGCAAGGGGCTTCTACCGGGGCTTGGTGGAACGGCAGCAGCAGCAGGAACAACAGCAGCAACAACAGCAACGGCTACGACAGCTGCAGCAGGAGTTACAGAAGCAGCAGCAACATGATGACGGGGATGACGGTGAAGGCGCTACGGCCGCAGACGCGGTCCGGGGTCAGCGACGGCTTGCGGTGCTTGGGAGGGACGGGGAGGGCGGTGCGAGGGATGGGGATGAGGATGGGAAAGGGGAAGGAGAGGGCGACGGGGTGGCTCCGTTGAGGGGTGGCACTTCTTCCTCTTCTTCTTTTACTTCATCGTCAATCTCCTCATCAAGCTCATCGTCGTCGTCATCGTCGAGGCGGAGTGTGTTCATGAGGTGCGGGCGGAGGTTGTGAGGCCCGTGTGGGCCCGTGTGGTGCTCTCCAGCACCGGGGTCCTGCACCACTAGGGTCCAGGACACAGGATGGAAGGGGATTCGGAGTCGAGATGTTACGACGGGTTGTGGTGGTGGTAGTGGTGGCGGCTTTCGCAAGCTTTCTTTCCTCGCCTTGTGGCCCCTTCCGGTCCCTTTCCCTTCAGCAAATAGCCCCGGGGCGACGTCACAAATTTTATGTCGGGATGAGGGACTCTTCCTCCTCATAGTGTTCCGTTCTTTTGACCCTCACCCGCTCAGGACGGTATCGTCGGCGGTTCCGATATCCTTCGTTTCTTGTATCTACGATTCCCCACCCACCGACCAGCTCACCCACCCACCCCATCGCCAAGACTCCTTCAGTAGTCGCGACTGGTTAGTTATTGCCTACTTAGGACTTCTGCGGTATCAGTCTATCCTCCTTGGCATCAGCTTCACTCGTTCACGTGGTTCGTCTTCCCCTCTTTTGGCTTTTCCCCCCACCCACAGGCTGACCTCCATGGTCGTCACGCTGAGCAGTGGCTGTGTAGAGAGCTGGGCCCGGGGCTGCTGCTCGGAGTTTATTTGCTCGTCCTACCGCCCCGCCTGCCCCTTTATAACCGACAACTGCACGTACACGGAGAAAAGCAGGCGCGCCAAAGACGTACACCGCCACATCTTCATGCACCAGTTCGGCATGTACGACGCACGGCACGAGAACCAGGTGGTGGGCCCTGACAGCGAGACGCGGCGGCCGGTGGCGCTGCTGCGCTATGTTGGAGCGGCGCACAGGTAACTACAATGTGCGTATGTCCGTGTGCGTGTGCGTGTACATGTACATGTGCGGTGATTAATGTTTTCTTTGGCGTGGGGAGGAAAAGGGGGGAAAGGTGGGAAAAGGGGGGGGAAAGGGGGAAAAGGGGGGAAAGGTGGGAAAAGGGGGGGAAAAGGGAAGTTATGCACGGGTTCGGTTCATTGTAGTTCATCCGGGTATGAGGGTCCCCCATACTCCCACCCCCCACACCACAACTCCCAACCTGTGGTCCGGTGGACGTTGTCCGTTGATTCATTCACTTCGGCACCATGTGAACTCCCCACCTCGCGCCTCGGTCCGCCGGCCCGGTCCCGGCCCTCGCCATGCTACTACGTACGATGTGTTCTTCGTTTCACACCGTACGCCTGCCGTACGTGATCTTGGATTTCAGATCCACTGAGATGTGGAACATCAGTCACGAGTACCCCCCGGACGAGAAAAGACACTCCAAGGAGCACACGTTGCAGGTGTGCGAGTGTGTGTTCTGTTACGTATCGATCAGGCCCTGGCGCTGGCCAGGGGCACTTAACCGTAAAACCCCAACGGTAACGACCCCGGAGCTCTCTCCCCCTAGAGGCGGGAGGAGAGGGGCGTGAGGGCTCCCCACAGTCCCCTCCTGCTCGTCCCAGGACCCACCCTGTGTCTCTACCTCGCTCATGTAATCGGTGATGAAAGAGCGCACGGTGGCTACGAAGGTCCCCTCACAACGTAGCCAACCTCAGAACACGCTGCGGCACAGTTCCGCCCATGCAGCCTTTGCACCATTTGCATGTGCGGCTTGGCCCACCCTGGGTGAGTCCTTGCATCACCCTGGGCGCCCCTCCCCGTGATGTGGGGCAGCCTTGGCGGTGCATTGAGCCCAGAAGCAGAGCCCTACAAACGTGTCTACGACCTCTCGCTACGGCCCGGAGGCCATTACTACTAGGCAAGACCCCCAGGCCACGTAGAGGTCCCTGGCCGTGACCGACCGGCCCCGCTCTAATAACTGGGGCTGGTCAGCAGCCAGCCCGCACTAGGGGGTTAGTTCAACATGGGGGGCCCTATACGCGGCAGGCGGGCGGGGCTTTAGGTGTCAAGGCGGTGGCAGGGTGTGTATGTGTACGTCTGTTGTTACAGGGTAGTTAAGCTTCACCAGCGGGCCCCTTCCCCCGAGGCAGTTCCCTGCTCTCCCCTGCGAGAGCGGCACCCTGATCCGTTCACCCCATCCGACTTCAGAATGTATTCGTTGGGTTCAGCTACTCACCACCAGCATCCAACCAAATCTAGCGGATCAACGGCGCATCAACTTAGTTCCTGGTCAGCTCGCAAGTTGATATTATCACGTCCTACACCGTCCTTAAGATGGGGTGCCATCTCCCATTTCTACACTCCTCAAACACCCGAGGAGTCGGCAGGCGGATTTGAATCCGGAACCTCCGGGAGCAGAAGTCAGGCCTTAACCTCTGCCAGCCGCCTGCCTATAGCCGCCTGCCTATAGCCGCCTGCCTATATGTGTATGTATGTATGCGCGGGGAGTCTTGAGGGAGGGGAAAGGGGGTCTGGATTTTTCTAAAGTTCCTTTGGAAGCGTCCTGACATTGCCGCTCTCCGAAACCGCTCCTTCCCTCCTTTTTTGAGCCTTGCTGCCTCTGCTGTTCATGGTCCATGTGTGTTTCCGTGGCCTTTCCTCGCCCAGAGCCCCCTTCTCGTCGTGCGGAATTCATTTTGCATCGTTTCATCCGACTCTTTGACCTTTCCGCAATCCTGTTCTGTTCTGGCCACGCACACACCTTCTCCCACCACGCTGCTCTTCCCATCTGCTCGTTGTGATAGTTCTCCACGTGCTTCCCCCTGCTCCACATGTACGGCTGTGCAACCCTCAGCTGCTCCAAGACCTCCTGGAGCGCTACAACTTTACTGCACGGAAGAAATCTCACTTCAAGAGCTGCTGTGCTTCGCTGGTGCTGCGGAAACAGGCCGTACGGCGATGGCCCGTGGAGTTGTACAAGTACGGCAGGGGCGGGGTGGTGGTGTTGGTATTGGTGGGTGAGATCGGCTGATTGGAATGTACGGCGCAGGGTATTGGTTACCGACCTGATAGGATGGGGAAAGGAGAACCCGCGGGAAGGGGTTCAGATAGCCCTATGAAGCCTCATTCAGTCTTCTGAAGTACGGAGGCACGTGCAACGTATGTATTTTGAATTTAAATTGTTACAGAGTGGGAGGCTTCTGGGCCATTTGAACACTACGATTTATCGTATACAGCACCATACAGCACCATCCACTATTACCACACTGTTCTACGTCCGGAAGTCCATGGCGGTTGATTACCCCTGCCTTCTAGGATCCCTCCTCATCCATTCACCCGAACATCCGTAGAGAGAGGGTTCAGCAATCGCCACCAATCCAACGTGCGAATCTCAATCCATCAACTGTGGCCTCAACTCCGCATCTCTGCAGCTAGCTATAATCTCGCGCACCCGCCATTGTCGGGGGTCTCCCCAGAAATCGAATACGTGCAACGTATGACATGTACAACCTAGTTTTATGCCGGGCGTTCTGATTCCTCATGTCATTTGTTCTTTACCTTTACCAGGATGTAGAAATTTCGTTTATTGTTTCCTGACTTCGCCTCAAATTCCCTGTGTTTTTACATTCCTGGGGGGAGTATCCTACGGGTCCTGTTACGATATTTGGGTTGTCTTGGACCCCGAGCCCGTGCGGCTAGCCAACTGGCTTCAAAGTCGGTGAAGCCTGGTTATGTGTGTGTGTGTGTGTGTGTGTGTGTGTGTGTGTGTGTGTGTGTATATATGACTTGTATTGAAATTCGACTTGGACTGAATTTTCAGTTTCCTTCTGCTGCTGCCGCTACCTCTACCGCTGCTGGTCCTTATTGTTCAAAAGGGACTTGCTGTCGTACGCCATGGACCCCGCTATGGACTATGAAGCCACCAAGGTCTGCACCGTGTCTAGGGTGTACATGTGTGTACGCATGTATGCATGTATGTATGTGTGTGTATGTGTGTTTATGTGTGTGTATGTGTATGTCTGTACGTAGATGCCAGGGTTGCGGGGAAATCTGATTTGTGGAAAACAGATGGGAGGTGTACAATCCATGCTTCAATTGTATGAAGATGTATACATGGTCTCCCCCCACGAACCCGCATGATGACGTCATGATGACGTCGGGGTCCGCGAAGATCCCGTCCTCTATTCCCCCTTTCTTTGGTTCTTGTATCATCTGGGGAATCTTCCCTCTCCCCCAATAACTCTAATGTCGTAAAATGTTGTGGCTGCTGTTGCATGTGGGACAGTTGTTTCACGCTCTTGTGTGCACGCTCTTCTTTGCGCACGTGTGTACGCACTTTAGTCTTAAGAACCCATCACCCCTAGGCATTGACGACCTGAATTCCCCCCGCTCAACCATTACAGGGCCCCAAACCCTCCAGCCCTCACCTCCTTTCCCCCACCCTACCTGGGTTCCCCTTTTGACAACCTCCCCTTTCTCCCTGAAGTTCTCCCTCCCTTCCTCCCCCCATACACCCCTCAGCCGTGCTTACTTTCCCATTCTCCCGCCTCAGCTCCCTCGCTTTACCCACGCGGCCTCCCCCCCCCGCTGCCACATGCGCACATACATACGTACATACGCACCCTCAGGCGGTTTCGGGACCCGGATGGGCCCTATGGCTGGACAGGGACTACAACACCTATGACACCTTGGCGTACATACGGGTACGGCGGTACGGCGGCTTTAGCCATCCGCCATGGCTCCTCATGTTCGTCTAGTCCCCCGGTCCCCCCCCGCCCTTCCCACACACCCAATCCGCCGTGTGGGACGCCTCGTATGGCATATCTATAGGCATGTCGGGTCCTTACGACGCGTGCAGCTGACCTGTCCCGTCTTGTGTGTATGACGCGCCACCCTTATTCGCCCGGGATTTCTCTCCCACCCCCGTGTCCCCCTCTATTTCGCAGGTGGATTTTCATCTGAAGCACATCCAGGGCTGTCCCGCCCAGTTCACTCCGCAGTTTCAGGAGCTGGTGCGGGTCATGAGGGGACACGCGGAGGGGGGCCCGGAGCAGGGATAGGGTTACTAATTGCGGATCTAGTAGCGGTTTTAGTAGGGGTTTTAGTAGGTTGCAAAAGTCGGGGTAGGGTTAAGGCTTGAGTTGGAGGACTCGTGCAGGGAGTGGTGGTGGACCTGCGGCGGCTCAGATGACCGCCTGAGACGACCCGACTCTGTGCGGTGCGCGATTAAGGAAGGGTGGGGGCTTGGGGAGAGGCGGCTTTAGGCCGTGCTATGCGGTGTGGGGCTGCAGGGGGAGCGGAAGAGACAAGCCCGGTGTATGTGGGGGGGGGAAGGGAGGAGGGGGGAAACAGAAACAGAGGAAAGAAATACTAAACGAACCTTTGTTAACAAAAACCCAACGCGAACTCGAACGCAGTAATAATTGTCCTGAGGGTTGGGGGGAGGTGGCGGACGGGGACCGTAGGGCCACTGCCGGAGGCTTGTGACCGAGCGTTGAGGCGGGCACCGCCCACCCCAGGACATTTCCTATTGAATGGCGCGGGGAAATTTGGATTCCGACCCTCCCTCCGGAAAGCTTTTGAAGCGCGTGCTTCATTCCTTTTTCCAACGGGGGAATTTATTCGTGACAGGTGGCGTTTCCGCCGCGTGTGATTTATGCGCGATAATCCTCTGCTTATTATCGGGGTGGGTGCTCAAGAAGCGTGTATTATGCGTGTGATTGCGGATATGGTCGTGTGGTTGTGAGATTCAGTTATTTGTTGCGTGTTGTGTTGTACAGCCCTTCGCTGTTATTGTCTGTTGTGTGTTGCTTGCCGCTTGTTATGCTCGCACACGGGTTGGTTTCCATACTTTACCACGCGCCTCTTGCTCCTTAGGAAGATTACTACGGCCATGATGGTTGGAATAATCTGAACGGCAATTACCAATCTTGAAATGTGATTTTCGTTTTGAATTAGCAATATGCTCCGTATAATCGGATTGCTTACATGGTTACCAACATTGGGAAAACCTACGACAGCAGACGCATGCGTGCTGCAAAGTGCTCTAGAGCTTGTCGTAATTCATCACACTGACATATTCCCACTTAGCTTGACGATCCGAAATGAAATCAACTACAAGCCCAGCACTACGCACACGCTCTCTCCACGACAATCCACCATACACCCTCACGCTCAACGTGTTGCGCATCCCCATGGCTCCTTAACACACTTCTTTTGGCAGGAGGATACGTGAAACCGCCAAGCCAACAGGCCCTTGTGGATTTCAATCAGCCAGCTACAACTTGCCAATCGGTGCTCCTATCCACAGTCTGTTCAAAGCTCCTCCTCCGTCCTCCTCCCCCCTGTTGGCCCAAGGGAAACCCGTACATCTCCTTCACCAGGAGATATGCCTATATATAACCTGAACCGCACATCCACATCCTAATCCAGGACAACTACCCAAAGATAACGTAAGGGAAGCTAGTGCTGCCCCCCTCAGTGATAGTCTTTTTTCTTCCTCGGGATTAACGTGTAACGGCAGGCGGACTTGTGGGTGCATCCTATAAGCAGCTGCTAAGAAGCTTTTTCAGACTACCAGTGCATGCACGATCGATAGGTAGCATAGCCGTTCTATCTCCGCGGGTTCAAACCACCAATCCATCAAGGCGAGGCGAAAAACGAGCGACCGACCCGTCGCTTCAACCATTCAACCACCCACCTCCGTGAACACAAGAGTCGTCACAAAACGGGACAAAAGCGGGAATGAGAACATAGCGCTCGCTTGGTTGGCCGTATGGCATATTACCCCCTACACTACCACCACCCACGAAATAAAAAATTATAATCCCCTAACCCTCTTTCTACAGCCTCTCACATATTTCTTTGCCGCCCCCTGCCCAGCGAGCCATCAGCACCACCAAAACCTCCTAATGTAATGTTGCGCCCAGTCCGTCACCTACAGATATCCTCAGGTACCCGAATGCCAAAAGCGCCGCTGGATCTTTCTATTTCCATATGTAATGCACCCACCATCCGGCAGCCTCCTAGTCCTGTCATGTCGTGTCATGCAACCTCAAGGAGTAACACACTCGCACTCACTCACATGTCGCATACCCTCGGTGTATGGTGCACCCTCTCCCTCTCCTTCGCTCCAGCTGTTTTTTGCTTCCACCTTTATCTTTTCCCTTCTTCCAGCCCTGGCGGTGGTGGTGATGACATATCTACGGTCTATCTCGCACACTCTCCCGAACACCACCGGGGGCTGCTCTGCCGCTTCCTGCTGGGAAGCCACCACCTCACGCTTGGGCTTTCTTCCCCATCGGAGTATTTTTCCTTTTCTTATCTTATAATACTGTTCGGCCTCTCGGGCCTCTCTTGAGCGCAAAGAATAGCAACGGGTGTGAGGGACCCACCGCAAGCCGGAAAGGAAACGAGGAATTTGCCTGCGAGTCACCATAAGCTCTCGCGCAGGAGCCACCCGCGTGGGCAACATAACAGGTCGGTGTAGACTGTACATGTACACATGTATGTATGTCAGATGTCATGCCTGTTCCCGGAGCTCCCGGACGCACTGCGCAATGGTGCCGTACACCTTGGATCTGATAGCGTCGCTCGCCACTAGCGACCTCAGCTTGGTCTGCAGGGGCGGGCGGGCGGGAGGGGGGGGAGAGGGAAGGGGGAAGGGGTTATCCCGGCCCGCAGGTGCCGGGACCCCGGGCACTTTTGTGGTATATACGCAAAATAAAAACCAATTTCAACTGCTGACGTTGCCACAAGGTGGGCTGGAGTGAGTATGCGTGTGTGTGAGAGAGAGAGCCCAATTGTTTCAGGGAGGAGCGAGTGTGAGGTAAACGGCAAGATGAACCTAAGCAATGACCAAGCTTGAAACGCCAACAGCTGTTGCCCCATCAGGGGTGAGGACGACCAGGTTGTTACAAACTGTAGAGACAGGGTGCACCAAGCTAATGCGAAAGCAGTGAAGCCCAATCTTCGCAGGCGGCGTCATTGCCTACCTGCGCCGCTCCGCTGCCCTCCACCGTCACCGAGTACACGTAGTCGTCCTCGTCCCCCGTGGAGTGGACCTCCTCAACACGGATATCCCCCTTTACCTGCGAGCGGAGGTGCAGTGCGGTACCAGGACAGTGACGGACAGGGCCCAGGATCTCACATACACCTCGTTACACCTCTCTGGGTTCGATTCCTGGGGAGACCCCCGACATTGTCAGGAGGTGCGTGAGATTATGGCTATAGCTGCTGAGATGTGTAGTTCAGGTCACAGTTGATGGACCGAGATTCGCACCACGCTGGGTTGGTGGCCAATGCTGAACCCTCTGTCTCTGCGGATGATCGGGTGAAAGGACGATGACGGACACTGGAAGGCAATAGAACCAACCGCCATGGACTTGCAGTTCGTATGGCGTAGTACCCTGTGGTAATGGTGGATGGTGTTGTAAGGTGTTCAGTCATAGATAGGACAATCCAAATGTGCTGCGTGATCCCAGAAGCCTCCCACTCTGTAACAACAACTTCATTATATACATCCATACTGCCGCATCCGCCCCATTTTCCGGGAGAAAGGCGCGCAACGCTGGCCGGATCGCTTTCCAAAAGTCGCCAAAAGAGTAATAAGATGTTAAAAGTGCCTCAAAAGGCGGAACCAGGGCATCGCCAGGAACATACGCAATAGCCCTCCCTTCCCCAGAAGTTTTCCGCAGTTCCTAATATAATAATTCCTCTGCCTTCATCTCGAAGCGCCTCCCTCCCTCTTCCCGTTCGTTCTCTGCTAGCCACCCTGGGCCGCCACCCTCCACCCAGGCCGCCCGCGGGTTCCCTCACCGTGCTGCTGCCGCCCGCCACGAGTCCCTCCCAGGTCAATGCCAGAGTCAGGTCGAATACCGCGAAACGCTTGTTGCCTTTGCGCGTGGTGATGGAGGCCTGGAGGATAGGCAGCACGGAAGGAAGGGTGCTTGTTGGCGTTGCGGGGTGTGACGTGTCCAGGTGTGCCCCAGTTCGTTGCTCTATTCCTTTGTCAAGCGCATATTGTTGACTTCGTTACCAGCTGCACATACATACATACACACATGCATACATACATGCATACATAACCTGTTCCAAACCAACCAGGCACTGGTTCTGCGGAAAGAGTGGCCTATGGGCCCATCAGACGCAGGCCGAACCAGTTGCAAACTGATGGATGTGGCCAGACAGCAATTCCTTCGCGATTACTTAGGGCACAGGCAAGTACTGCAGTGCGTAGATCTTTCAGGTCGTTTGCAGGTGATTGCGTTTATGTATGTTACATACAGGTGTACGGCTCCCACATGTATGTAGCATGCGGATGTACGGCTCCTTCGATGCCGTGGAAGGGCATGTGTCGCCGCTATGACCGCATTCCCCCCATCCCATGTGTTTTTACTTGAGTTGGGAGGTTGCAGTGCCAGTACCCATTTGTGGCCATGGCCGCCAGGTCAAATGCAACACTTCGCACGTCCACCGCCGCCGGCGGGCTGTGTTCGACGGCACGCGAAATCCCTTCGCTCGGTTACTTAGGCGCCTCCCATGTCATCTGGGATGTCATGGACTCAGTCCCATAAAAACAATGTTACCCACGTCGCCTGTCATGTCCTTTAGTCGCTCCACTATGATCCTGGTAGGTTCGCCTTCAGCGGCATCCTCAACCTCGTGAAGCACCAGCCCGGAAAAGAGCTCCGCCAATCGTGTCTTTGTCCACTCTTTGCGATCTTTCTCTTCCCAGTGCCATCTGTGAAGCGTGGGATGGACAACGACTGGTGAATTCTGCACACACCGCACGACTCGCTCCAAACGTCATAACACAACACCTTGATCACGCACCCGTTCACGTTTTTGCCATCGTCTCGATGTTCCACAAGCCACCGTGGGTCTCCCTCGCCCCACTTTGCCATTTAGTACACCTATCTTAAAAGGGTTGTAACCTGACTTATTAAAAGTGCTATGTTGACGTTGTTCCTAGCACTTAAAATAGCGGCAATATCTACCCGCAAGAGCAATCAAAGGCGACGCAGAGAATACTGCTAGCGGTAGTCCTACAGAAGCGTAAAGCTCGATTTTAATTAACTCCTCCAGCCACAGGTAAGTAGGTAGCACACGAACTGAAATGTGGCAATTGCGTACCGGCTTTCAACTTTGCTTCTTTCCAGAAACTCGTACAATAATCGTACTTGGTTAACACATACGCGGAAAATGCAGCTGTACCTGTGAGCTGCGCAGGTCCTGCGGAATGCTATAAGTATGCCAGGAGAGAGGTGGACCGGTACTCCATTAATGTTCTTGCCCCTTTCATTCATCGGCTTTTCGAACACATCCGTAGTATGGAGGACTATCCTAGTCAGTTTGAAGTGTCTTGCTTGAAGCCGATTCACAAAAGACGATTTGTAAGATAAGATCGTGGTTTTGCGGTAGGCGGAGCCCTATGCTCGTGCTTTCATTAAACGGCAGCTTGCTTACTAGCGCTACCATGCGGGACGGGAAGACCGACAGACCACCAAGAATTCCAAATCTGGGTTTATGATAATGGGCTCGCACAAGTGTCACGGCGACTTGGAGCGCCGGTTGAGAATGGGGTGAGGCTGCCAATGCACAATTCCCGTTGCAGGGTGGTTTCCGGGCCAAGTTAGGCACCGTACACGACCTAATCTTGCTCCGGCACCTTACTGATCGGCACAGCAATCGCCCTGACACTACAACCCCGCTCTTTGTCTGTCACGTCGATTTTGAGAAAGCTTTTGATCGTGTCCGCGTCTCCTGCTTTGGCTGAGACCAAAGGATGCTGGACTCTCTGCAGGCCTGTAATAGGAGAGTAAGCGTGCGCCTGAAAGCAAACTGTAGGCTGGGGGAACCTTTCGACTCTGTCGACTCTGTCGGGGCCAAACAAGGCTGCCCTGTGTTCACGGGGAGCCTTGTGAAGGTCGGTATGCAGCGAGCAGTGAGACATACTGTGCAGTTTAAAAAATGCCGTGGGTTTGCAGGGCCAAGTATTTACGGTTTCATTACGGCCCGGATGCCTCAGTCAAATCTTGCACTGATGAGCTATTTATTGCGGGGCAGCGAGCCACACATGGCCTGATAGCCAATTGAGTAGGAAGGAACTGCCTCTGCTCAAGATAGCGCTCAGGTGTTTCTGTAATGAAAAATTAGATCCATCCCGCCCTACGGAGTCCAGGTGTGGGGATCGCAGTTTATTCTCCAGGTCATTGAGCAACCACCCGACCCACCTGGGCGGTCCTGCTACTTCAAAAAGTCTCTAGAGATTTCCATGGTCGAGCTGCAACGCACGTTCCTGAAGCATCTCTCTGGGTTAGGGAAGATACCGGATAATCGTGTCTTGTTTAGGGAGCTTGGTCAATTGCCCCTCCACCTTCACTGGGCCGCACTTATTTACCGTTTTGGAACAGGGTTATCCTTGCGAAGGCGACTGTGTTTCACAATTTCTTAAGTGAGGGGATACGTCTTGCAATGCGTTCTGATCATACTGCCACCAACTGGGTTGCCATGATGCTAAGGGCTTCTCAACCTATAGGTGCACGCCAGGCTGATATGGCCCCCGTGCCTAATATGAGGTCTGTCATGGAGATTGATTATCAGCGCGGACTTGTGCAAATCGTACACGACATCTGGATGAGACGATGCACGCTGATAGCCGACTAGTAAACCTGCGGTCGCTTACCCTAGTTAATGTTACTGTTTGCTCTCGCAGATGGGGTTCATAACCCCCTTTTTCTTTTTTGTTCTTTCTTCGTGTCCCTCTCCCGTCCGCGGGAGAGACCTTATGCGGTCTTTCCGTTGGGGCTGGGCAGCAGCCCCTGGCCAATGTCAGGCCCGGTCAAATACTTGTAACCTTCACATACACACATACAAACACCGTCACATGCCTTCCTCGCCGCTTATATGAGGATTGCATCTAGTAGCTACTACGAGTCTCCAAGTATCACCGAAGAATTAAATCACATAAATCTGTGCGCGGCCCACGGCTTTGACTTCCCAGGCATCCCCGGCCTCAAGACGCATCCTCAACTCACCATCGCGAATCCCATACCAGCCATAACCATCAGCAATAATGAAATGAACGCCGCCCAGCACCGCCACACTCCGCAACTCCGGCGGCTTATCCATGCCAACTGCTCCAGCAAGGCCGCCCAGCTCCACAACAAGACTGCCCACGTGCAGAGGTGTAAACATCAAAACTTGGACCAAGTTCCAATGCTCGTGACCGTCAACCCCGCGAAAAGCTGACAAGGCGTGTGGAAACCCGCGAAAAGCGTACCAGTCGTTGGGTGGCCCACGAACGGCATGCAAGGACTGCTTCTCTGCATTTGTCGCCAACCTACCAAACAGCGGTCGATAATTGGTCGCGTCTGTACCTGGCCGGTAGGGTAACCGACATAACGAGCTAACGACCCAGTAACAGGGGGTTCACCAATAAGGTTACCGACCAGTAAGGTTACCGATAACCTTACCGGGTCGTCATTTTGAGATGTCGGACAAGCGACCGTTTGGGTTATAGCTAACCGGTCGGTTACCGGTTACCCTTTTATGCCATAGGGGTTGTGGTGCGTGTGCACACTGCGGCGCAAGATGCTTCTGCTCATGTGCTTTGATTGCTGTGCGGCCGCGCGGTTTCCTCGCTCTTCCTTGGACTTTCTTTGGAATAGCTATTTATGGCTCAGTTCCGCCACAGTCCGCAACTCCAGCCCATCCATGCCAACTGCTCCAGCACTTTCCTCCTTGCCTTCTAAACTCCGTCTCACGCACATCTCATACATGTCCTATTCTCAAGTTCGACTGGCAATGGGCTGGGTTCGCACATTACCAGGAGGCTAGATGCTCAGCCATTCTTGTTGAGATGGAAATGCACCATCCATCCACCGTCCATGGATTTGAATTGGTGCCTTAGCAAGTGTACACATCACCCCAATGCCACCGGCCGCTGCACCCGGCCCTCGCAGCTATCCGTAACACTGAGTGTATAGTCCTAACTCGACACCGTTCCCCACTTGCCGCCCAGTGCCGTACAGCCTCCCCTGCGGAATTCGGTGGGGTGATTGGCTGCACCAGAGCCGAGCCCTTTTCGGCTTCGAAAAGCTGACTACCCTAGTCATATCCTCGAGCCACACATCCAACAGCCCCATCCTGGCGATGGCATCCCCTCCCCTCCGCCATCCTCATCCTTGGTGGGTTGGGATCGACCCTTCCAAATATGCCGCCATCCTGGGCCCTACTGCCATCCTAGTAATCCTATTCTACTTTTTCTTCCATCCGTATCCTGTGCCTGAACCTCCACAGCATTCTGACCAACCTGCAGCCCTTCAGATTGCACAACAAGCTAACCAGTTGCAGTTCCAACCAATAATTTCAAACAGACCGCGACACCAACTGTTCGATTTCCCTTCTATCTGCCTGTGTGTTTCTTATTCACACTTTGTTAACTGGCAGCATGTATGTATGCCGTACGCACGGCGCGATCGACGCTGGCATGCACGCGCTATTGCGCTATTGCTGGTAAAACGCCGCGCTCGTGCCTTCCCAGCAGAGAGATAGGCCCCTAGGAAGTACCAGTAAAGAACACCCACCATGGCACTGATGGAGGCGTGAGATAATCCATATGGGTGTTAAGGCGAAATGTTATATATATAGTTTCAGTCCGATAGATGCTCAGCCATGTACGATGAATTACGCCAGCATTGCGAAGCATACAAAAGACGGCCCCAACGCCCTTCGTACCCGCTCTTCGTAGTAACGGCAGCACGAAGCGTTAAGGTTGCGTTTGGTATTGGGATCATTTCTAGTCATGTGTGTCTGGCTGCATGAACCTGTTCCTATAGGTGTATATGGCCCCGGGTCGCACGCACAACTACTTGGAGCAGCCCGGCATGTTCACCAGCCGACCCGCATGCGGACATCTGTGGGGGCCTGCAGAGCCTGCTGGGGACCTAGTGGGGGGTGTCCTAGTTCCAACGAAGTAACGAAGAACAGAAACACCAAACGCACCGGGCTCAGCGACGCCCGTTCTGCACGCCGCGGTGCATGTACGTGGCGCCAAAGCTAATAATACATTGCACGCCAACGTACACACACACACACACACACACACACGAGCACGCGTAATGGCATTCAATACATGCACGAGCATACACACACATATATATATACACACATATAGGCAACGCGGCAAGGCACACCAACCTACGACTGAACCTACCAGGCCCGTTTCCGACCGGGAACATTGCGCGCTGACATACGTGATGCGCGCACAGCGTTTTGGCTGTTATCAGGATACTAGGATACTATTAGTGCGCCCACGTGGCAGGCAGCTATTGATCTATCGCCCGTGCCGCCTGCTGTGCCCCACCTGCCTAAAAGCCATGGACACGAAAGCTAACCCCAAGCTCTCAAGCAAACCCCATGGGCAAAGTCGCGCCATCTGCCCTCCCTAAGCCCTTCACACTCTTCATCGCTACTTTCCTGGCACCCATGGCTCCCCCCCGGGCTCCCCACACGCCCATGCACTGATCCCCAAAGTAGCATTTCCTAGCATCTGCGGGAATGAAACAACCATCCATATGACCATCCATACAACCATCCAAACAGCCTTTCCAAAACACCTTTTTCCGCACCACGGATATACATATGTATATATAGGTCATGCACTACTGGTAAAGCACACACTGATGCCCCCGGAGGTTCCGGGATCGAGACCTGTCGGGGTCGAAAATTCTTCCGATGGTGGAAGGTAAGAGTGCCCCTAGTCGATGGGCGGTGGTGATCTGGGATAAAGTTGACCTGCGAGCTGACCAGAAATGGAGTTAAGCCGCCGTTGATCTGGCAGATTCCGTTGGATGCCGGTGGTGGGTGCGGAACCTGAGTGATTCACTGAGAAGTTGACGAGGGTGACTGGATGAGGGTGCCCCGAAATACCAGGGAAGGCAGGGTCTGCCGGGTAGCGGCCGCAGGGTGAAGATATGACCCACCTGTCCCACACATCATAAGTATATATAAATTCCTTGAGCAGTTCTCGGCCATACCGCCCTCTCGACCTGGTCCTTAATTTGCATTAATCCAATGCCGCAGCCTTCATTCGTCCATGGCTGCAAAAAGGTACATTATATGTATGCCCTCATGCACTTCCATCTCTCCCACACTCTAACTCCTCTCAATACATACGTAAGTGCGTACAAACGTACACACCCTCGAACATATCTTCGTACGTACATACCTTCATCACATTAGACGCCGACCCGTCCCTGGAGCCGCTGGCTCGCCACCGCCAAGGCGCCCAGCTATCTAGGACACGGAAAGCTGCCCCTCACACACCACCAAGGTAGGTGCTCAACCTCCCGCCCGCCTCGACAACATCAACGTCGTCACATTCATCATCATCTGCACCTGCTGCTGCGGGTGCTGCAGCAGCAATGACGGCCTGCTGCTGCTGCTGGTGCTGCTGTTGTTGCTGTTGTTGCTGTTGGTTAGTAGAAGCGGTGGTGGTGCCAGTTCGCGGCGGCTGCTCGATGCGGTCTGTTGCCGCCCCAGTCGCTCCCCCCGCCCCACCCCCCAATGCATCCACCAGACGTCCTATGTCCCGCTGAAGCGCCTCCACCTGCTCAGTGAGGCAGGAGATCTGGGCCTTGATCTCGTGACGGGTGTCATTGAGGTCCGTGTTGAGAGCCTGTGCAGACATACGGACGGACAGGCAATGTCAACCCGCTTTGTGATGCGCCCGGAACTTTAAATGCAATATGCAATCTGAACCCCGTGTTGCGAAGCTCCATCTCTCTTTCCCCCCCCCCGGCAGCTAAATCCTTCGTGCGGCGCGCGTGACTAGTCAGCTGGTTCGTTAGTGACGGTTATTTGGTCGTTAGCCGTTGTTTGGCCGGTGTAGCAGCCGTTACTCGCCTGGCGAACCACAGTGCCCCGAATGGTGTCCAGCAAGGAGGCGTGAGCGGGGCTGGAGGTGCGCTTGGTGTTCACCACATGTAGCCAGCGGGGCGCGGACCTGAGCAGGCGGAGCAGCAGCCGAGGGGGGTGCGGGAGGGAGGGTGGCGTGGGGGATTTAAGGAGGAAAAGGGGGAGGAGGGGAGGAGGAGAGGGGAGCAGTGCCGGGAAGAGGGGGGTAACGGCTAAGGAAAGGATGAGCAGATAGTGTGGGTGTGGGGTGGAAGGGAGGCAGCACAGCGGTCTGCGGGAAGGAGGTCTGCGCAGGAAATAGACATACAGACATACTGGAGAGGGAAGGGGGGAAAGGGGTTAAGATATTAAGGGGGCCATCGCCGTGTCCCTCGTTGCAGCTCAAAAAGCCCATCAGGATATGTGTTCGGCAACAGGGGTTTCTTCCCACGGTTCCCCGCCGGCTGCGTGAGAAACAGGCATACCACCAAGCATACGCCCATTCGTCTACCCAGCAAAGTGTCTGTCATGTGGATTTCGTCATCCTTCAGTCCTGCCTGGCCTCTTCCTCCCTCGCCCCATCCCTTCACCCTCCCTCTTCCACCCTCCCTTCCCCCGTTTTCCCTATCCAGCCTCCTCCTCCTTTCTCACCTGCGTCTATCCGTGAAGAAGGAATCTGGCATATTGGAGTCAATCTCCAGCACCAGTCTCGCTTTTAGAAGCATCCACTCGCTCTTGGCGTGTTGTTTGACCACCACGTAGGTGTCCGACATGACCGCGATGAGCAGGTTGAGCAGAATGATAGATACCATGAAGGAGAAACTGATCAGCATGGCCTGCATGTACGGGTGTGTACGGGTTCGTACGGGTTCGTACGGGTGTATTGGTGTGAAACGGAACACCGCCACACAGGTTTACGTGGGGAGGAGAGAGAAGAGAGAAGAGACAGAGGTTGAGGTTTGGGGTTGAGAGGAGAACGTGTAGATGGGAAGGAGTAGAGAGGAGAGGAGAGGAGACAACGAGGGTGCAGTTAGTAGGCTACACGCATATATGCACACAGTTAGATGCACACGCGGATAACAGCCGGAAAAGGAGCACAAATGCACACGCACTGCGTGCACAGCATGACCCGGTAAGCACCTACATCCGGTACACACGCGAGGACATTTGTGATATCACGACTCCAAAAGAGTACTGATCGGCGGATGCAGATCCCGTGATATGCCGCAGGACATTACAACATGTCCCCCTATTCCAGAGACTTTCCTCCCCGCCCACTTTCCCCACCTCGGGCTGTCACCCCCCTGCCTGCTTAGGCCGGTACCTGCCCGACACCAGCACCCCCTTCACTCCCCTCCACCCCCCACCACCCCCACTACCGCCAACATCCCCAACCCCATCCTCAACACCGCAGCCAACCATTCCCGCTCTCGGTTCGTCGCCAAGCTCGCGCCGCCGTCACAACTGTCATCTAACCAGCAGGTCAACTAACTAACTAACTAACTCACGTGGAGGTACCAGACGTATTTGGGCTCTCCGTCCACGTCGGTTGTGAAGCCGCCCACGGTCTAAGGAAACGGGTGGAGTGTGCAGACAACGGCGGGTCCGGGTAGTGAGTACATCCTGCTGGACATATTATATATGTAGAGAGAGACATTATACATTACATGGTCATTATATAGAGGCATACTTGCATCTGAACATGCTGCATCATGATGCTGGCCTACCTGCGCTGACGAGTCCTTTTCCCTTTCACGATTCCCACCGGCCTGGACCTCCCTTGCTCGTTTCTAAGGACCTACCTTGCGATATATACCTCTGGCCCTGCCCTTCCCACGCACCCTCCCATCCACTACCGCCCACCCTCACCCACCATGAAGTAGTAGACCGACAGCAGGCTCTTGGGGAAGCCGTCGAAGCTCCTGGTGAACTCGGAGGAGATACCCGCGTCATTGTCAATCTGATAGTTAACAAAGGAAGAGGAGGTTAAGGGAAAGGAATGGAAGAGGAGGGAAAGGAAGACGACAGGTGGGTCATGTACAGGCTGGGAGCGGGAGGCGTGGAGCTGTGGAAGGGGGTTGGGTCGAGGGGGGGGGCATTAACGGCTCGAAACCGCCGTGATGCCGCAGAGACAGGACCCCCAAGGTACCGCTGGGGCCGCTGGGCACTTACATCTACTATCGACACCGCCATCCCAACGAGGTCTTTCAACACACGCAGGCCGCACAATTGGGCTGTGCTAAAATTACAAGTTCCCCACACATTTGCGAGGTTGTCCGTAAAAGCCGGGGGTCCAAGTACGGCATAAAGTCTATGTCGTACCTACCTGATCGTAGTACGCCATGATGTGTCGGAACGCCAGCGCGTACGTGAGGAGTGTCACCAGCACGATGAGGAGGTAGTGACGCAGGTCGGCGATGATGCGAATGATGATCTGTACGAAGATACCCGTGCCCTCGGACCCTGTCGATGGGAAGGACCGCACGAGGATGGACATACATACATACATACATACATACATACATACATGGACATACATGCATACATGCATATATGCATCATACGTACCGCATCCAGTATATGAGTCTAAGCTTTGCAGCCCCGTTTTCACCCTCGCTCTGTCCTATCCGGCACCTCGAACGGCACCTCGAACGGCACCTCGGACGGCACCTCGGACGCAAGAACTGTACAGCTGCAAGCCATGAAGTCTACAGGACATAAACACTGATATTATTGTATCCGGGTACATCACGGGGTCGGCATCCGCCGGTGCTTTTCCGAAGTCGTGACGTAACAGATATACACACGCACAATACCGCCATCCCTCCCCCCCCGCACTGACCTGACGCCACTTTGAGCAGTCGGGTGCCGAGAAGGATGGTGCAGGCGGACATCACCCACCGAGCCTCTTCCAGCCCGATAACCTGATAGGTGAATGTCGCCACAGGAGGGGAGTGGGGAGAGATTTGCAGGATGAGCAGAACCACACAAGGGGATACAGCGGGCGGAGCCCTACTGCCGACCTCCAAGAAGCCGGGGAATGTGGAGGTGGAGGTGGGAAAAGGGAGCATTAGCAGCAATTGCATTAGCAGCACTAGCACCAGAAGCAATTGCATTAGCAGCACTAGCACCAGAAGCAATTGCATTAGCAGCACTAGCACCAGAAGCACTAGCAGCAGTAGCACTAGCAGCAGTAGCACTAGCAGCAGTAGCACTAGCAGCAGTAGCACTAGCAGTAGTAGCACTAGCAGCAGTAGCACTAGCAGTAGTAGCACTAGCAGTAGTAGCACTAGCAGTAGTAGCACTAGCAGTAGTAGTGAGCGCAGCAGCAACTGCTTCACCTGCTTCCGCCAAGATTGATCGAATGAAATGCAAATGGACTGATGATAGTAGCAGTACTTCGGAAACTTGGCTGGAGGTTCCCTGCACACGCGGATGATATGCGCGGCAGCGGAAGGCGGTTCGGCCCCCTAAACCCTCCTCTTCCCACCCATACGCTCCTGCGCTACGCGTGCTGCGGTGGTTTTTTGCCGTTTACCCTTTCCCCCCCCCAGCCCCCTTCCCCTTTGCTGCATATTAGTTGCTATTCTCCTTCCCCCCACACCAACCCCCACCTGCAGCACCACCACCAACTTGACCATCAAGCACGACAGCAGCTCCACCCAGTTCCAAGCAGAGTTATGACCTGCGACGATGAAGTGCCGAAGTGTCAGGAAAACAACAAAACACAGTGCCAGGCCCTCTATCCCCACCCCGCCGAGGGTGCAGCTGTTGCCCTTGGAGAGCCTAGGCTTGGGTGTGGCTTCTCGAATGGGTAGGGTAGAGCAGGCTCATGAAAGGCATGAACAAAGACAGACTGTCCCCCCCCACACACAGCTTCGGTAAAGTTGCCATCTCCGCGTGCCACTTCCTGCTCCCCACGTCCTTCCCCCTACTCAGTTTATTGAAACACACGTGGCACACACATGCGGAGCCAAGCCACCGTCACACGGGCAACAAAGGCGATTATCCGGACAATAATAAGAAAGGGGACACCCAGATGTCCGGGCCTTGCCGTCGACAAAGGGAACACCGACAAACATGCATACATGCAAACCTTTTTGTGCAAGTACAGGGAGACGTACATACATGCAGACAAACACAGGGAATGTACAGACACACGCACCTGTGAAGTACTGCACCGGGCCGTGTCTGGAGATCTGGACAATCTCCTCCCACAGGTACCGCGCATTAAGCAGCAAGACGCAACCCTCCAGAAGAATCCGTACTGCCACACGTGTACGAGTCGTACCGTGCCCGTACATCTCCTCCCTGCTAACCGCCTCGCTCCACTGCACGCCCAGCGTGGTGGCGGTGATGTACAGCACCATAAAGATGCCGTACACCAGAGCTTGTTGCCGGTAGATGCCGCCTGAGTGATTGTACGAAATGTTGTACGGAAGGTAACAAATTTGAGAGTTGAGAGACAACGGCACCATAATAGGAATACGAAGAAGTTGGGTTTCGGCGGCTTTGAAGACGCGGCGGCCATCCCCATGTCCCGGTCCTAACCCCCCACCCCACCCCACACACACATTGGGTTTCATTCTCCGACCGGCCCCGACCCAGTGTTTTTTTTTGGTAATATATTACTTTTTTGGGAATAAATGGGGGTCTGAGCCTGGAAGAAATGGAATAATTGGTCAGTTGGCCGTACTGGTTCATTACTTCGGCCATAAGTCGCCCCAAATGCCTTCTGCACATATAAAGCTGACCATTTGGAGCTTATACACTATTTATGTATAAAATATTTCACGATATCACCATGAGACGGCCCGCTGTTGCATTCAACTTAGGTCAACGGGGCATTCGTTCATTTTTGACCAAAGCAAACGGCTCAGAAAGTCCGCAGACGCAATGCCCCAAACATTTAGAAGAAGAATTAGATAATACAGAAGACAATAATAGGCATGCCGTAGTTGCCGCTCTTGAAGTCAGTGAAGCCAGCGATTTGAGCGAAGCTGAGGATCCCCCGGCGAAGCGGCAACACACAACTGCAGCAATCAGCGGCTCAGCTGAGCAGCTTGATTCTGACGAGGAAGGGCCACCGCCCCAAGATGTCGCCACGGCACAACCACCACCTTCAAGGGCGGGTGCTTCGCAGCACGCACCGCTGGTGATTCAAAAGCAGGCGCGGCGCCAGCAAACACAGTGTGTGCCGAAAGGCCAAAGCGATGGGACGTGCAGTGTGTTTCCAGACGTCAAGTGTTGTTTACAGCACACCGTACAGCCTTTGAGGGGGGGATCTGGGGGGGGCGCAG